TATAAAACTGAATTTTCTAAGCATTAACCTTGCTCTTTATTAAGTTTCAAATGTACTTTCAAATTATTGAATGTGATAAACATCTCCTTTGACCATTTGTGATATATCTCCCCCACAAAAGTAAATAGTATGATGGAAGAGGAGATATTATGTACTAATTAATAACAATTTCTATAACGGCTCCTTCTTTTTGGACATAAGACTTGCGCTATATAAGTATATGCTAGAATCTGAGGTATTGGGGTTTTTGTTTGTTTGTTTGTTTGTTTGTTTGTTAAGCTGAGCCATCCTGCCACCTGTTGGCAGCTCAGCTTGGACTGGGAATCAAACCGCTATTGCTCAGAGCTCGCACTTTTGAGTGAGCTCTTAACCAATTGAGCCATTTGGCTGGCCCAGAATCTGAGTTATTGTTAAAGATAGTTTTACTAATTACAGGGGAAATGGGAATTTGATTAAGTATATATCAATTTTGGAATTCTACCTCCTCTGCTACTTTGAATCTAGAGAAGACTTCTGCTGTGTTTCAGAAGAGCTACAGCTGTTTTTGATGGGGTGTGGATACAATACATGAAGTGTAACAGGGTTGTAAAAGTCATTAATGCCAAATAAAATGAAGTCATCAATGAGTAAAGATGATTTGGATTTTAGATCTCCAATTTTCGTTTTTAAATGCCCTTATTGATTTGTTGCAAATATTGTTAACCCTGTATTTGGCAAATGGTAAGGACATTATTACTTGTGTTCTCATTTGTAATAAAACAGATTAACTTGCTGTGAAATTGTAACTAGGCTGAGACACAACAGTAGCCACCTAATGAACCGAAGCACATTGCAGTTAAGTAGCTAAATAGATGCACACTGATCACAGGGCTGAAAAATGGATCTGTTTACTTGCAAAGAAGAAATTATTCATAGAACTCTTTATTATTTTAGAAGAAATTACACATTCTCAGTTCCACACAATTTAAGAAAAAAACCACCTAATTATTAATCAGTATAAAGCACTGGATTCATGTAATATAGTTTACATGGTGGAAAAAAATCTGACCTTTGCGATGCTGTAGGATAATAATGAACTAAACCTTGAATGAATTTGGAAAGTGCAGGCTACAAAATCTTAAAGCAAAAATATCACTTCATGTAAAATATTATTGCCATTCTAAATCATGTTCTCAAAGTCAGTTTATTGTTTCACCTAACGTGCTGTTAAAAAATGTCAAAGAAGGAATTTAAGAAAATTATTTGTGGGCCGGCCGAGTGGTGCGATGCTTAAGAACTCGCTTGGGATGCCAGAGGGCCCCGGTTCGGATCCCACATATGAGGGCCAGTGACACTGCCCTCCACAGCTAAGATGCTGAACAACAGC